AGGCCACCATGGATGCAAAGGCATCAATGGATGCGACCGCCGTGGATGCAAATACTATGGACGCGGGCGCCGTGGATGCCACCGCAATGCCTACCACCGCAATGCCTACCACCACATCCATGGATGAGGCCGCCATGGATGCAAAGGCATCAATGGATGCGACCGCCGTGGATGCAAATACTATGGACGCGGGCGCCATGGAAGCCAAGGAATCAATGCCTTCCACCGCAATGCCTACCACCGCAATGCCTGCCACCACCATATCCATGGATGAGGCCGCCATGGATGCCGCGGCCATGAATGGGAGCGCAATGCCTGTGACCGCAATGCCTGCGACAGCGCAGACTTACAGCGACGCCTCGGACGGTTCTGAGAGCTTCGGGTACCCGAAGTTGATGACATCGAGTGCTAAGGTGCGGAACTTGAAGTTGAAAGACGAGTACCGTGCATACGCAGTGGGCATGGCGTTGCTGGCGGTGTATGGGCATGTTTCAGATCAGCGTCCGGATTCGAATTCGAAGATTCGGAAGATTCTGTGCAACTACCTGACGGAGTTGGACAAGAGGATCAGGAAGATCGACATCGAACGGAGCAACAAAACTTTGGATGACTACCTAGACACGCTCAAGGTGGAACTGGAAAAAGGCTGCCCCTTCCGCACAGCCTGGGGTATCGTGCGTCGGAGAACCGAAGCTTACAAAGTATGCAATGAAGTGATGGTCCAAGAGGTAAAAAGAAATCGAACCAGTTTGTTGTAATTGATGCCCAGACCTACTGGTCTTAGAAGCGTCTATCAGCACCCGTACGTCTCAGCATCCGCACGTCTCAGCACCCGTACGTCTCAGCACCCGCGCGTCTCAGCACCCGCGCGTCTCAGCACCCGTCATCTTTTTGTGTAGAAAACATTCGACAAGATGCTGCAACACCGTGTCGCATTCACCGAGCTACGTTCACCTGGATCGCCTAATTGCGTCCTCAGATCTGCCGGACACAATTCCGTTTTTGACTTGATATTTTTTGGGTATAAATGAAGGGATGCGCAAGTGGAGTTGCACCGCAGGAATCGGTCGCGTTGGTGTTGAGTCTTTGTGATATCTGTGAGAGGATCGGGTTAGGTCGGGCAGTAGGAGTGGAGAAGACATACATGGATTGGCACAATGCGGGTAAACACTTGTCGAAGGACATGCACAACAGACTTTCGTTGTTCATGTATAAAAGAGTAACAAGTAGGAAGTGTGACCTGAATGGAATGATGGTATTGGGTAATGATGAAGCCTTTATATCGCGTCCTGTGAACCTCCATACTCCGCAACTATTTCCTCTAGTCAGGCTTCTATCCACCTCCGGCAAGTTACGGCCTATTGCGGTGACTATAGTGGAGTCTCTCCAACAGATGTTCCGTAACAGCAAGGAAATCGCTCTCCAGGTCAGCCTACAGGACGTAGCCCAAGCTGTCAAACTAACTAGCGGCTCCGTCGATATGACCACACACAGCTTGCACCAGGCGGAAGGCATCTCCGCGGAAACAAGCGCTGCGGACATGACCACTGCGGAGATGGCCTCCCCGGAGCTGGCCACCGCGGAGCTGGCCACCGCGGAGCTGGCCACTGCGGAGATGGCCTC